GAAACTATTTAAACACGAAGGCGCGCTATAAAAGGAGCCTTAGGTCCCACTGGACCATTTGTCAATCAACCGTCGTGTGATGTAGAACTCTTAGAGTCAAGTCAGCTTGAGCTACAGCTACTCCAAAGCAGTGAACAGCGGGCGCATTCCTCAAAATTGTTTTATGTCTTCATCACAATACAAGAATTTTTGAGATTTGTATTTCCTTTCTCCAATGGAAACTGTCTTTATTTGTGGCGGTAAATTTGAGATCGAAGTAGGTGGTTCGCACGTTACCTCATGCCACCATGCTGGTGGAAGTAAACAATAGATATCTCATTAGCTCCTTTTGTTCCTCTACCAGCACTTGAATTTGACCCGCACACGTCAACGGTGAGTGACAAATGAGCCTCGGTCTTCCCAGGGAAGACTTCTTTATATAGCGCGCCTTCGTGTTTAAACCCTTAACTTGCTTATAGTCAGCCTGGCTGGCTGCGTTCAAATAAGATAAATACTTCTTCATTGTTAAGTATAAAGTTTGTTCAGGTGAAAATTTGTTTCGTAAAGTTGACTAAGACGAATAAAAACTTACTTGTAAACGAGCCACAATGTCTTCCGCTGAAACTGAAAATAATAATTATTACTATATATAGTAATATATAATAATTATTTTTAATAATAATACTGATAATAATACTAATAATAATAATAATAACAATAGCCAAGTATAAAATACATATTGTAACACTTCTTGTTCTCTCTTTTTGATGAAGCGTGATTGTCCATTTTTTTTTTCGTTTTTTCGTCAATCAAAATCCTTTCGATGGCCTAAAGGCATCAGCTCATGTTTTGTTATAGATGTTAGCCAACCATCTTTCAGGAAAGCGAATTTCATGATTATCCAAAACAGTTACGAACATCTATTAAGCACATTCCGTCAAAAATGATCATCCTTTCGAAAGACAAGTGTTAGCTTTCACCGAAAAAGTAGCTTTCCCCACCCTCCCCTTCCCTGCTGAACGCGGTTACGTACCTCCCGGTTTCGGATTCATCGATATGAATGCCCCTCCATACCACTGAGGGGAATATACGTCATCGAGAGTTACATTGTACTGAAAGGAAGTTCAAATTGTTGTTTGTTAAGGCATAAGTCCTCGTGTAAAATTCTTGGATGTAACAGAGACATGTTAGTAAGATCTTATTAAAGTTCAGATCTTCCCTTCTATTGACTTATAAAAAATCTACGACTGAATTATCGTCATTTAAAAAAAAAAAAAAAAAAACGAGGACGTTGTGTAAACGGAAGATTTGTAAATTTTCGACAAACTAAAAATAAACGACACAGTCTAATTTTTTCAAGGTGAGCTCCACCTTGGAAAGTGTTACGTCGCGTGGTCGCTGCTATATAATTGCGATACATATTTTGCAACTAAGTTCAGCATAGGGATGGTGGAGATTAAACTAAAAAAAACAGGAAAACTCATGTGATCAAAATGAAGACGTACACAAAATTCACAAGAAGTAGCTAAACACTACAATTCCAAAGGTAATCTCTTGTTTGGTACCATTATCTGAATAGAAGGGGATGAAAATTGCATTGCATCAAGAGTATACTTCTCTAAAGATGATCGTTTCTGGCATTATTCCTACAGCTCACGTTGTTTTGAGCAAAAAATAAACTTTCAACTACTTACTGCGTCTGTGTAAACGATCCGCTGGCAACTTTTTGAAGCCATACCTAACAAAACACATCCACATAATTTTTAGAGCTCGTATCTCCGTGTGAAACGTGTGCAATGAAGTCAGGCGCCAGGTTTTCACTGATAACGGTAGTAGCAAAAGCGACATTTTCTTCCCAGGAGCAGATTTCCTTACCATTTCTAACAGTAACCGCGCGTTGCAAGGGTGAGAATGATTAGAAAGTTACCCTGTGTTCAGTCAGAGGGTGGGGCGTCAAAATTTAAACCCATCCATGTGCCAATGGCAATTCGAGATTTGGTGCACTGGCGCTGACTTTAAGGTCACGCATTCTCCTCACAAGGCTTATTTGAATAATCTAGTCACCGTACCGTGATCTCCAACAAGGATCATGTTTACTTTATCCTGCATGGATCGATCCTTTAGCCCTTTCCACAGTCTTCCAATCATATCGTCCACTCTTTTGTACTGCGCATTGGTCTAAAAAAATGCAGAAAAGGTAGGAAAAGTTTACAAAAAGAAAACAATTGGTAAAGCTCATGTATACCTACCTTTTGGGTATAGGTGCGAGAGGTGGATGGCACGTCCCGTATCCATGGAAACAAGATGAGCGAGCCTCTCGAATATCAGCTCTATCCTTCAAAGATCTCTCTCTTTCCCTTCCCTGGTTGGGTTTTGAATCTTTGTTCAGCTTAGGCGGACAACGAATATATCCGCCTCCAATATTCAGTCATAATGACAAATTTTGCTTATTCTCAAAATAAGTTTCCACTTAATCCCTCCACCCGTCTCTAGACAATCCAGTTTTTTCCGCCTTTTTGTTTTCGACACTGAATATTAAGAGGGATGGCTCAAGAAAATGATACACTATCAGGGGGAAAAAATTCTTTCTTTTTTGCATCTAATCCTTTAAGAATATGATGATTATGATGAGAGATTTTCCTTTATTTCACACATGCTGAGATGTACACCCTGATCCTTGCACTATCCTTGGTGTCTCTGATTGGAAGAACGATGTATCCTCACAGTCTTTGCTTCCCCACTATCAAATGTGTCGGAAGTAAGACAAAATCTCAGTACGTATGAAATAAAAACATCATACCGTGGAAAGTGTTTGAACAATTTTTATTCACAAGTTGCGATGCATCAAAAAACTCACTCCTTCGCTGGACTCACTCTTTCTTATTTTTGATGCATAACAACTCTTGAATAACAATCGTTCGTGCGCGCTTTCCATAGAATAGTCTCTACTTCTCCCAAAATTCGAGACCGTCCGGTCCGCTCATGTGTACTTCGAAGCTCACTGAGCTTCGAAGTACACATGAGCGGGACACATGAGGTGTGACAGCAAAGCGTGACACTTACCTTCTCTGAGTCCGGCCCTGCTCGATGCTCAGTGTAATCAGGTTCATGAAAATACAGAGTTATGAAGGAGGGCCGCCTGGGCAAAAAATGACCAAAGTAAATGCATTCAAGTAAAAAAAAGGAATAACCTTATCCTTGATACCTTTTTCTGTGGCCTAAAACTAATGCCATCATGCTTAGACTTCCTATGAAACATCTGATCGCTCTAAAGCATTCAGTCAATATACAGCAACATGTGAAGTTGACATGAGTTCAAAGTCTACCTCGTTTCCAAGCCCCTCGTCCTTGTAGTGTTTTCAAACTTTTGCAAAAATGGCTAAATGCTTCGCCTCTGTTTCCGAGGACGGATTGAAAGTTTTAATAGAAAACTAAGATTCCAAAAACACAAAGAGAACGGCAAAAACATGTGTTAAAATTCTGAATGATTGCTTGAGGGGGAAGAACCCGGAAGAACCATACGACAAAACCGCTTTGGCCAGTGTTCTGAAGAAGTTTTACGCCGGCACTAGAAAAAGTGAAGGAAGCTCGTACTCGAAAAGTTTCATGACCTCCTTACAATTTGGACTCAACAAGCATTTCAAGACAATAGGAACTGACATTATCAAAGACCCAGAATTCGCCGAGGGGAACAACGTATTTCTAGCGAAGTGTGTTGATTTAAAACGGTGGAGTTTGGCGAAGGTTGAACACAAACCCGCTATTTCAGAAAACGACCTTCGAAAGCTCTACGAGTGTGGAATTAGATAATCCCTAAACACTTCACTCGGAATGTTCTTCGAGATGATGCTGTACTTTTGCCGCCGCGGCAAGGAGCCGAAAATAAGAGAATTTTCAATAATCTGTTCATGTTGTCCTTCAGCAGCATAATTAAATACAAACGGCACCATGCCGTTGATCGGCGAAAGCTTGGATTTTACATTTTACTTTTTAGAAAGCAGTTTAAGGCCTCATTGGAACAGTTTGTATGTAAAAGAATTTTCGTTCAAAAGAGATGACAAAGACGCTCAATATACATGTACAAATCAGATAAATTCCTTCTTTTGCGAATTTTTTGAAAAATGTATAGTAAAACAATTATTAAATTCGCTTTTCGAATGATGCTCAAGCTCATCCAATAATTGCATAATATCAAACAATGCGTTGGTTATGACATCAAAAAAGGGTTGCCACACGGCATAGAAATGCTTAAAATATATACTGGAACAACAGATGTAAAGGTCACAGCCCAACTGATTCTCCGGTGTGGAAACAGCAATCCCCTCCCCCTCTCCCTTCCCCTTCCCCTCTCCCCACCTCGTGCGCACTCATCTCGCTGTCACAACCAACACCGGTACTAAAACAAAGTTCTAACTCCTAAACTCTCTCACAATCACCCCTGTACGAATTCGCCGTTGCAAATTTTTTCATTGCATCACCAGGAGCTAAAGTCATTTCAAGCCTTAATCCTTAATTATAAATTTGGATTAAAAAATACAACTCGCATACATAGAAACCGCCATCTACATCAAGCAGAAGAAAATCTCGCAAACAGGAGTATAAGTACAACAAAACTAAGATATATTCCTAAAGATAAATTAATCACGAAAAGAAAAGTGCACGTATTTGTTACCGTTTGCCTCCCTTGTTGGGATCATCCGCGGTACAGTGGGATGGCAGATCCAACCAGCTCAGAACTTTATCCACACGCGCTTCAAACGGATGAGTCCTTACGAAGAAAAGAAAACAGAATAAAGCATAGATATCTGCCAATTTTCTTCTCTTTTATTTCTTTCGTGTATCTAAATAAATGAGAAAAGTAAGTAAAACGAAGTGAATGTAAAAAGTGTTCAAAAGAAGGGCGCAGCCATTATTTATCCCCTTGCGGGTGGGGTGGAGGATTTGAGGGGTCACCTCAGTAGTCTTCAGGGGGAGTGTAGGGGAGGTCAGTCATCGTCAACAGAGTATAAAAGAGGGGGAGGTTATCGAAAATCGACAGCCAATTAAATACTTATGAAAAGGGGGGGATGCTAAGAATATCACAAAGCCTTATGGTGCGATCAGGTAAATTTTATCGTGACACAACCAAATCTTCCAGCCCCTGCTCCACAGGCGAGAAAAAAATGACTGATCCCCAATGATTCCTACATCCATTTTTGTCTCACGATTGCGAATTCAGCGTTCAGAACATTCCAAGCACAATAGGCACATCATCAAACATCTCAGAAAAAAGATCATACAAAACTTCTTCTCACTCCGATGAAATACTTACTGATTGTAGACATATGTGAAGTTGGGTAATATTCCTAAAAGAACAATTAACGCTGTCAGATTAACAAACAGATTTCGTTTTACGGTGCGTCTGTTCAGTAGCACACCACAAATGACGTTAAAATGTGGTAAGAATAAAAAAGTGGCACAAAATGGCGCAGCTGAGTGCGTTAGTGATGTTGTCACACAGTTTGACTACCTCTGTAATCTATTACTGTTAGATCTACGGCAATATGAGATCTATTGTTTTTCTCAGTGATACCGAAAATAAAAAAAAAAAATATTTGTTGATGGAGACGTGACGTCATCTATATATCTGTTCTGCAATAGATCACAGGTAGGAGCCAATCAAAATGAGTGCGTGATTCAACTTTTCATATAATTGCCTACAGACACATATTACCTTCAATAGGAACTTCCGATCCGACCCAGAAGTAACACGCAGACACGAGACCTCGCTTAATGGCGGTGACCCAAAGCTAGTTATAAGAGAAAGAGACACTTAGCCTTCCAATTAACTTATTTCTTTTTTTTTATTGCTGTTGTTGTTGTAACTTTACTTGGCTTTTCTCAGTTGTTTTTTTGTTTGTTTTCCAGTAGAGGGCTTGTCGCTTGTTTGTTTGTACACGAGCGACGTGGCCGTTTAGCATGAGAGTAAGTATTCCGCATTGACGATGCTGCACTACCATCTCTCGGGCTTTTAGCGAGGTCTGCGCAAGTCGACACTCTCAAAATGCTGCGAGCTCCGCGAGATGTTAGGTAGAGTGTTATCCACCTTTCAAACTACCGGGGCAAAGCCTTTAAACAAAAAAGTAAAAAATTATCGCCGGAACAAGCATTAAAAGAAAGAAAGATCTTTTTACCAGAATGACAAGAGACAAGCTGGCGGGTTTGTTCGCCAACCTGCAGGCGTTGACACAGCGTTGCTGCAGATTTTTTGAGAACTGCGCCGTTAAATTTTGTTTCCTACGAGCAAAAATACCCCCAACTGCACAAGCTAACTACTCACTGGTTCGCCTTTCCACCATTTCGGATCAGACGTCGTCGGTCCTCCAATTTTAAAGTTGTCATTTAGTTTGTCGTCTCTGAACCGGTTAGCCACAATACCAGTGTGTGAGGGAAAAAGGCCCTGGTAACGAGACAAAACAGAAGAACAAATAGTCACGATCAACTTTACTAAAATTAGAAAAAAAATTCAATCATTGTGTAAGGTAATAGCCTGTTTCCGACGTTCTGTTAGTTAACCCTTTATACTCTAAGATCAGTTTGCATATTCTCCATACTGTTCTCTATACATTTCCTAAGGTGCTGACAAGGAGAATTTGTTTAACAATCAAGAGCTTCTTTAGTCGATCATTTCCTTCATTCTCGCAAGCTTGATATGTGATACAGAGGTGATATTGTAAGGACAAATTCAATACTAGTCCCTCTTAAAGGCTAAAGCGTTAGAGAAGCGCGATAGCAGCAAACGAGTGAAAAAACGAGGAGGTTTGGGTCGGGTTAGATCCAAACCTCCTGCTTTTTCGCTCCACCACTACTGTCGTCCTCATAATTTTACCATCGCGCTCCGCAAGTGCATACTCACCGTTACCATGGAGTAGTGGTTAGGAAAGGTCTTGGTTGGAAATTGAGGAAGGAGGAATTTTGCTAGAACTCCACTGCTAGCTGTTGGTGAGACAAGAGAAAATGACTGACAAATCATAGTTACTGTTTGCTTCCATGATCAAATCGTTATTGTTTTTGAGCAACAGATAACCATTACTTTAAAAGTAAGTAGCTTGTCTGTTCTCTCAAGATTTCTGTTCGTGTAGGCTTCTCTCCGAAAAGATGTCACTGAAAATTAAAGCCACCGCTAAAAGCTAAATTTTGGTCATGACTGTCTGTCCGTCGGTCAGACCACTGAGGTCAACTGAGTGGAATAAATGGTTTCCTCTCTGCACACCCTTTTCTTTCTAGTTGTTGGATGGCTTGATATATAGATTTTTACTGGAGTGTTTGTATGTCTGTCTGAGTGGCCGATTTTTTAAGTCAAGCTTTCTAGTAGCGTATTTTTCAGGTAACGGATGACTTATTAACTTACATTTCTAATTGTATAGCCGTCTGTCCGTCTATCCGCTCAGATTAGACGGCCGAATTTCTTACCGAGATAATCGATGTTGGGGGTTAGATTTCTTCCGAGAAAATCAGGTCGAAATCCATCCATTGATATGATAATCAAGGGATCTGGTGAGCTGTTCATAAAAACAAACAAACAAAACAAAACAAAAGAGAGAGTAGATATAAGTTACTAGCTTCACGGCTTCCTCAGATGTTCTTTAATTAAGTACATAAACGACATCGTGTGCCATGAAAGGAAGAGGCAAATATGCATTTTGTTTTTCCTCAAAATTCTCGCAATCGTTTGATGTTTAAGGTAGATGTAAAGATATAACTACTTTCTCAAGCCCGGTGACATTCTGGAGGCGATTTAATACACCAATCTTTATCAGTACAATCGTCATGGAGGATCGAGAGCTCCTTCCACATTAAACTTGACGCAGGGAATAGCCGATAGTAGCGATTTGGCACTTCACTTTCGGGGGTACATGCAAATCCCGGCCAAATTAATTTCCATTTTTTCTCGCCAATCCTCTCACTTTCGACACACAAATGGGCCTAGTATCTGGGCCCAGCATCTGGGCCCAGCATCTGGGCCCAGCATCTGGGCCCAGCATCTGGGCCCAGTATCTGGGCCCAGGATCTGGACCTACCTAGTGTCTGGGCCTAGTGTCTGGGCCTAGTGTCTGGGCCTAGTGTCTGGGCCTAGTGTCTGGGCCTAGTGTCTGGGCCTAGTGTCTGGGCCTAGTGTCTGGGCCTAATATCTGGGCCTAGTGTCTGGGCCTAGTATCTGGGCCTAGTGTCTGGGCCTAGTATCTGGGCCAAGTATCTGGGCCTAACAGGATCGTGCATCATACGTATCAAATACCGCAGTTCAATATATGATTTTCATATATTTATTCTATCTCATCATGGTACACAATAGCTCAAAAAAGAAGACCTTGGCATTCAGTATTTCGTGTTTTGTACTTCCAATCAATCTTACCATTTCTCCCGTCCTTCTGAAGGTGATTTGCTACCTAAAACGAAGGCAGAAGGTATAAGGGCTACGACGCAGATGTTAAGTGCCTATCAAACGATCAGTTCGAAGCTTCAGTATCTCCTCCCCCCCTCGGGAACCCCCCAGGCATTTGACTGTCGTCTGTGCCCGGGAGTGGGGTATTTGAACCTTCCCTGGATAGGGTGGGGAAATTGAACCGGAAGTGTCAATTTTTTCCAATGGAATATAAGTGTTTTTTCTTTAAAAATACCAGCGTGTCCTTCTGTATGAGTGTGAAATATGTACGTTGCGAGACAATAGCCCATTTCCGAATTACCCTTGGCCTCATTTCCAAAACGAGTCTTGGTGCTCATCCTTTCATATGATACTAAGTTTTCATTCACAAGCAAATTAAACTCATTTTCACAAGAATGGTTGAGCACCAGGCCTCGTTTCGAAAAAGAGGCCAAGGGTTATTCGGGAATGGGCTATTGAGATTAGAAAACAGTATCTCGAGCCGCCAGCAACACAGCCATCCACATCGATCTCGAAACGCAAGCGACACGTGCAGTGTGGAGCACGTTCAAGATCAAAACAAATCAACGAGACGTCACATAATTTAAAAGCCAAATTGCGCACGCCCAAATCTGAGCTACAAATCATGTTAGGTTCATTTATGTTAGGCACACCCACTACACTGAGGATCCTCTCAAATAGTGCGCTGCCTCGCCAAGGCTCGCCAAAGACAAATAAATCACGAAAACTTAAAGCCTACCTTTAGATCCCTTTGAGCGTACTTTCACCAAAAACACCACGAGTAAAATAATTATTAACAAGATGACTAAAACTGCTCCCTGCAAGAAAAGGAAATGCGCAAATTTTACGGCTATGTAGGAAATAATTAATCTTAAGATTTAGCTACGATGGAGATACACACAATGTAATCAACTTACCACAACTAATGCCAATCGTCTTTTGCTCAAGCCAAAGAATCTCTTTTCCTGAAAAGCAACAACTGAATCCACAGACATGTTTTTTTTTTTCAAAGCTAGGTTAGGATTTCGTTGAATTAGAGGAGAATTATGCTCTTCAAACCACATGACTGGGGTCTTTATGAAAACTGTTTACCTGTGGTCTACCGCACGTTTAGCCTGCTAGTTAGGGTCTCGTGTTTCGGTTTCGCCCTATCGGTGGCCTCTTTAACGGACACAACCGCCCATCGGCAGCCGCTTATGGAAAGAAATATTGAAACCCTTGTATGATTTCATCATCCACTTTAAAAGTTTACATTAAAATTCTTCATCTACTGGGTTCTGAGATTTCAAAAAGTAAACATATCAAGTCGTCCTTAAATGGTCTTACTGGAAGCCGCCATTTTAAATCTTACAAGAAGCAAAATCACCGTGTACAGTCCACCATAAAGACTTCAATCGAAGGGCTCGACGCTAACGGTAGCCAACTAGCTACAGACGAGAAGAAATTCAGTTTTAGCCGGTGGTTTTCGATTTCCACAAACAAACACACCGAAATTGTTGTAACGTCTAAGTTATCACTAGCCGCTTGGTTAGTAAGTTGAAAAGTTAGTGTTGAGCCCTAAATCGCTTTGTTACAACGTCCTGACTTCGCGGTTCGATGCTTTACCTCTGAGCTGGGAAACTCGTTAGGGAGCTAGACTATGGTGCAAAGCGATCTAGCAGCGCGCTAATCAAGGCCCTTATATGGAAACCCACAGAATTGAGAAAATTTTATTTGTAAAATAATGACAGTAAGAGCGTCGTGTGCGTTCTATCGAAACCTGTATTAAAATACGTATGCAAGGAAAAGAAACAAAGTAGTTCAAGTCCATCGAGGCTGAAATTCGGACCCTCATTAAACCGGAATCCTCTCTTGACCTCGTTAAACGGGACGTGAAAGTTTTAAGCTTACCGCCAAATCAAATCACACGCTTTTAAACGTGATTGAAAAAATTAAAATTGTCATCATGCCGCTGTGAAATCCCAATCAGAGGTGAGAAACGCACCTAGGCTATCGGTACTGAAGCAAAAAATCTAAAGTCGACAGTCGCGTCGCTGTTGTTGAGTCAAATGAATGATAACAATAGGGTTCAGGTTAATGGACTGTCATGTCGCTCTCGAAAGTTTCTTCCAGCAAACACAGCATCTCATTTACAGCCACTTGATCAAGGGATTATCCGTGCCTTTAAGACACGATACAAGAAACATCTACCACGATCGCTTTTAAGGAAGATCGAGAGGGCTGAGAGCGTTTCTGAACTCTGTAAAGAAATAACTTTACTAGACGCTACTCAACTGGATAGCCAAGGTATGATTTGCGACAGCACCATCGACACTTACAAAGTGTTTCAAAACCACTAGCTTTCCTGTGACTGACGAACAAGATGACTACGAAGATGAAGACAACATTCCGCTGTCGCTTCTTGGTCAACAGTTGAGAATGAACAGCCAACAGAAGAAAACACTGGGGACTGGGAAAGAGACCTGATATCAAGCTTTGTTGAACCGATAGCTGAAGAGTCGAACGAACAGTTTGTCCATATGATGATAAGGAGAAACATGTTGATGTCCCTGGCAGTAACCTTTCACATTAAGAAGTGCTTGATGTGGTTATCAAGTTAAAAAAATTTGCGGTTCACAAAGATGAGAATTATCTCCAATAGGTTGTAGTGCTGGAAAATTTGACCGAAAGAAAAATAGTTGAACAACGTTGTAATCAGGTGCAGTTAACACTGGATTCCTTTTTTCCAAAAGTATCTTGGAAATTTAGGCAGAGAATCTTGAACATTCCATGCTTAAATAATTTAAAAGCGGCGATCATAGCGCGCGTCTGGAGGGTACCTGATAAGTTGAAAGCGTCCTGTGGAGTATTAAAGGATTGATGACGACAAAAGGTCTACCAAACATAAGCAAAACGGGGGGAAGGGGGGAGCGCTGAGCTATCGTTCTACTAATTAGATCTTTTGTTTTCCACGTCCTCGTTGCCGTCGCCGTCGTGGTGCTTTAAGGTCCCTAATTATTCCCCGTGTCTACTGATGCAAATTAGGCGACATTGCTTTTGTTTTATTTTTTTGTTTGTTTGTTTTTTTCTTCCGAAGTCATAGTCGGCTTCGCTTGCGAAGCACGAACTATGAAACGAATTAAACCCTTGCTAAATTCAATATACTGTTCACTAGTTCTAGTCATCGAAAAAGCAGAAAATAGCAAAAAAAGCACTGACTCGTTATAAACTACGTTCTTTTTTACTGAAGTTGCGTGACGCAAGTGAAGCGTACCGCATGTTATCACAAAGGATTTCACGGAATGCAAGAGTTATGGATCATTCACGAGTCGATCCTGTCTTTGGAGAAACTGCAGACTACAGGGCCACTGAGGTCCACCTAGTCAGCATGCTTCGAAGAACGAGGGAGAACACGAAAGGATGGTCCTTTTTCACAAGCGGCTGTCGATGCCGTAATAGCCTGCCAAGCTGTATGGCGAAACCCAAACAGACGAGCCTCAGTCGCGGGCTTAACTGGCGGCAACGAGAGGTATTGCAAGCGGTGGAAGACCAACGGAAACCGGCGTTTTTGAAACTTCTGGAGCTGACAATACTTAAAAGCGATTGCTTTTAAATCAAACAACCATAAAACTATTCAAAGACACGCAAAACTTGCTGATATAAATCCAGCAGCATTCGAGCAGAACGAACGTGAAGAAATGTGCGAGTGTAGACTCGGCAACTTACCGATGATCCGTCTTTTACTTTCACCTTATATTTTCGCTCATCGTCTTCCAGTTCGGCGATAAGTTCTCCTTTACCCTCACTCATGGTTTCATAAAAAGCTTTCTGAATATGTAAAATTTGCGTGTAATTGATATTTAACTTATAGTGTCCTGGTAGGTTGTTCACAGCATCGCGTGATCACCCTTGACAACTGAAGGCCAAATTAGAGGGGGGGGAGGGGAGTGGGGGTGTTTAGGCTCGACTCAGGCTCTGCCTATTTAGTCCTCTTCCCCTAATGCATTCTTTTGGAGAACGAGGCCAGAAGGGCTAATTTAAATTTAAACAAAAGAATATTAATCCGGCAGCCATTTATGAAAGTGGTCTATTCCCCGCTCTAAGAGGAGTAATGGTGTAATGCAATCACGAAATTCATCGGCAGACGAACAAATAAGAGAATTACATTCGGTCCAAATGTTGACTCAAACCAAGAAATCATCACAGAACTTGATATCAGTTCTTAAAATCTCTTTAAGAATTGATCTTAAAAAACTGATCTAAAAAATTTTTCTTCTCCACTTAGCAAACATATCGGCGGGTGACGCGAAAGCGAAAACGTGTCCTTGTGTTGTTCGGTTTCTTCAACTCCGCTAAAAAAGAACCGCTTCAGATTAATCTTGAAGCAGATCCAAGTGGATATCGAACACCAATTGCAAGAGAGGGAGCCAAGATTTGCCGGCTCGGAATACCTTATTGTGAATCTTCGTTAATGTCCAAGAGTCGTTAGAACGTCTTCGGTAACCTTCAGTGGTCGTCAGATATTTTAAACAGAAATCCGGGTCATTTGGATTGACAATCACCAAGGGAATATGATTTATAATCTCTCTTACTCACACATTTGAATAGGCGAAAATTGGTGTAACCCTAATAAAAAGTTCTCATTTGCTTTAGACCAAGAATTTTGATGCTTTGATGCAAACGATTGTGGGGTGTAAATAAAGCAGGCTGTTAATTTAGCGAGCAAAGAAATGATGAAGGCACATTTTGGGATGAAAGCCAGGAAATCTCGACATAGCTCGTAACATATACCCACAAGATTTTACACATTTCATAGAATACTATGCATATTTTTAACAAAAATAATTATTAATAAATGTAGCACATCGATAGAATAGCTATTAATGAAGAGTGGCCCACTAAGATATAATAACCATTGCTTTGTGTTAAATAAAGAACAATAAAATAACATTGACTTTACTATATCAAAGTAAAGTAACAAAACAGTAAGAAAAATTCAAACACGTTAAACCCTTAAATACCATCTTGAAAATGTATATATATAAATATATCTATACAAATCTTAAAAGCCATCCTCAGTTAGGCAGACAAGCCTTCCTTTCTCTTAAATTTGTCACACTATGGAAGAACTAGTCTCGTGCCCAGACCTTTCACGGCCAGGATTATTGAAGAACTGCCGTAAATTATACGAGGTTTAGAATAATAGTTAAAGTAAGATAAGTTCTATGGGTTAGGAAAAACTACATGTGCATTTATTTGCTTATGCTACTAAGATACCAACATAATCTATTTACCATCTGATCTCATTCACGTTTTTAAGTCTCCATTCACTAATTGAAACCCTCTCTCCCCCCCCCCGCAGGGCAGTTTCCATCCCTACCTTGTACCACCAGGACACCCCTACTACAACAAATGAAAAATAACTAGCTGAACCTCTATAGATAGAGTTCCTTCAATAAAAGCTGGATGAATCATTTCTGCAAAGGTAACTCAAATTTCTAGATTCCAGATTTGACATACTTAAAGGTCTAAGAGTAACTGGCCTTTAATTTCTCCTTACATTATGAACCTTGAATCAAATGTAAAGGTCATGAGAACAAAGGAAATGAAAACCAATTTAGAAAGCTGCCTATTTCCGGACAAATTTCCTTTGTCAGTGCCACTGGTAATGTAAGTAGAATCGCGTGGAGAATATGAATACCAATCTTAATCTTTCATGGAAACCTGTTTACGCTTTCCTGATATGATAAATGTTCTTTCACACAAAAATACTACAGCTGTAACCATTAAATATCAATCAAAAGGGTTGATATTTCGTCTACTGTGCGTTGAAAAAGAAACATGGCATGTACTCCCAACTTGGATTGTCTTTGTGCAGCAGAGGCCTATTCCTCGAAAGTTATTGACTAGTACACGACTAAAACACCGTAACACCCCAAACAGTTACTCCGCACGATTGCCTAAATCTTTACTTGTACGTCAAGAAGCTTTACACGGCAAGCCACCGATTTTCTGTAGAGGTAAAGAAAAAAAGTTACAATAATTTTGCTTTGCTCCACCACACATGCACACTCGTTACAAAGACATTGTCTCTAAATCACTCAATTGAAAGAACTACACTCATGAATTTCATAATTTGAAATTGTACTCTCACCTTTGCGCGTTCCCAACCTCATGTAACAAATGTGTCGCCATTTTTTATTGAGGTGTTTGCTAAATTTTTGTTTGTTTTCGTTTTTGCTTTTGTCTGTTTACTAATTTGTTTGTGTGTTCGTTTCTTGTATTTTCTGGTTACTTGTTGTTGGTGACGTTGTCTTTTTATCGAACATATAGCTTCCCCACTACATTTCTACACACCATTGTGGCTCCAAAGAAACGAAAGAATGTCAAAACGTATTTCGCTGTTCAGATTCATACCTATCAAAGTATAATTCATATCACGGATCAATTTATCAAGTCTATAATACTAGCCTACCTTCCGAGGTTTCCCAATGGGATCAAAGCTAACATTCCCGTAGACAAGCAAAGCCAAGTCTTTGAAGTTCCTTTGCATGGCAATAGACAGAGCAGTACTTCCTTCCTAAAAGCGCAAAAGTCAAATCACTTTGCTTTTTCGTGTGAACTTTCATGCCTTCATATTTCTTTCCAGGAAGGGAGAACAATAACTCACTTTATTACAAGACTCGGGCAGTCAGAGAGCCAATAACTAAAATCAACCAATCAAAATGCTTTATTGCCGGTCAATATTCTCTCAGTATTGGACCGGGCACTGTCCCGAATGGTCCCGAATGATACCGCACTTGTGTCCCTTTGAACTTCAGTCATAGAATAAATCTCTTATTAACAAAGCTTGCTCGGGACCGTACTGGAAGAATATCAGCCCTCGGTCTTTTTTGTACTGTCAAGACCTCGGGCCGATATTCTCCCAGTACGGCCCTCGCGCTTGGTTAATAAGATATATTTATATTTCCATGCTGTGATGGGTAAGACACTTAGGACCGGTTATTTAAACAAAGTATAGCTAATGTTTATCAAAACCGAGTTCTAAATTATCTTCAGTTTAGCTGAATTTTTTTATCTAAAACATTTGTCTTTGTGAGTGGTAGTGCCAAGAGGGCCGAAAACTAGCAGCGGAAGGACATTTATTTAATATCAACCATCTTATAGAAAAAGCCTGAGGCCAACTGCTTGCGTAATTATCACGGTACTCCGGTCCAACCAGGATTAATAATAGATACCAGCAAACTGTAAGGATCCTTAACGAAAACTTGATAGAAGGGAAAGGGAGGGAAAGGCGGGGTAAGCCATCGATGGATTAGCATCTTCTTTATGTTTACGAAACAGGGATAAGTTCTGAAGGACTAGTCGAAGATGACATTCAGAGGTGAAGAGCCCCAGCATAAGAGAGGACACGGTGGAAAAAAAAAGTAGAAGAAGAAAAATAGACACCCTTGTTGAGCAACCTATCTCGAAGTCGTAAAAATCAGCTGTAAAAGTCATATGTTACATTAAGTCCACTCACATTGTCTTCGAGGGAGGCATCGCATTGAGGCTCCAAGAGCAGCCGCTTGGCAATATTGAGATGACCGTGTTCACACGCACACATCAGAGCTGTTGAACCATCCTGGAAATATGAAACAATGGCAGAAATGGTGGTCATGAACAAACGAAATGGGAAACAAAAAAACACTGAAACTGTCTTGACTATGCGGCAGAAAAGCGATTGAGAAATCTGGACTGATTTGAAAAGAAAGTTTTTAACCTCCTCTGTTGCGTTGATGTCGGCCCCAGCTTCCAAACTGAGCTCGACCATTTCCATTCTTCCTCGACTGACAGCCAACATAAGTGGACTTTGTCCTGTCTGATTATTCCAAAAAAAATTACAAAGCAATATTAAGATGATGTTTGAGGCAGACTGGAAAAAGAGGTGCGTAATTGCACAAACGTAAAGCTAAAGAATTTTAGTTGCAGTAAAACCTTAAAAGGTTCTTATACCCCCTATAAAGTACTGAGTACTCTTGAAAAAAGGTAATTACAAGGTAAATTGTTTTTTCGTTTTTGGTCAGGAAACTTTCGCTGCATTGTCAAATGGTCTCAAAGAGAAAATATCCTACAATCATTTTGCCAGTTCATCTTAAGGGGCAATAATAACGCATGCTTTTAGTACTTTTCATTTCGTGATTCTACCCTTGGACGAGTTTTTAGAATACCGAGTAGCACTAATCTGGGGTTGAAATAATACAAGTAATGGTTAAGAGGTGATTTTGGAGCATGTACGAGTTGACCACGAATTTCTCTCGGAGCTCTGCTTTCGCCATTACAAAATTTTACATGGGAACTAGTCGTACCAATGCGAGTTCACCCGATCGTTGTAAAAGAATTGGAATGTCGCCCTGAGGCAAACTCTCGCAATGATGTCGTATAAAAAGAGAACCAACCCATTACGTGGAGTGCATGGGTGATTTTCCCCAATCCAAGATGACACCATCACTGTGGAAGTGTGGAACGGGAAGAAATGGACGAATTGGTAAACTTACTTCCTCGACTTGCTTGTTGATGTCTCCTGTTTTAAACAATTTCCTCGCAATGCCTTTGTCGTCTTCTTTCACGACTCCTGCCAAGGCAGCCATCATAATCGGAGTGTACCCAGCCTGGTATTTATTCAATAAGTTAATTATGTCGCCTTTCAATAAATTACTACACTTTCATGAGACACCAAAATGAGAGAAGCTTACTCAGCGTTAGGGAAACTTTTCGCTGCATGCTAAGCACTTAAAACTCTACAACGAAGTGGGCATTTCCTTTAAGACAGCTTTATTTCACAGTTGCTTCCTCTATCCTCTCTCCCCATCCCCTCCCAATAAAATTCATTAAGGATTGAGGACACAACCTCGCGTTCCTTACTTACTCATTATCATTTCTTGAAATCGAGCCAAGTTCACTGCTTAATATTTTGAAAACGTGTCAAAATCAATGATAATATTTTGGTTTCACCCGACAGACAGTTGATTGAGCCTAAAATAGGAAACACAATATCGAGAAAGAACTCTTTTCGATACACACCTACACTTTGGAAAGGTGGGATATTCCAAAGAATAACAATACCTTGTTTGGTAAGTTCAGGTTCATGAGTCCCGTGTCCAGTAACACGTCCACTAGTTTCCAGTTTCTAAATGACACAGCGTAATGCAGTGCATTATTTCCCTGTGGGCGAAGTAGAAGCCATTTTTTAACCACAGTGACAATTAATCGATGAGTCAGTTAATCAGTCGATCAGTTTCTGGCTGTTTAATCAATCAGTGAGTCGACCAATCGATTTACTCACTCGAGTACCCTTAACTTAACGCTCCCTTCCTTCCTCCTTCCTTTTAGTAGAGCTCGAAAACAAGTGGGGCAAAAACTTTACTCCCACGAAATTTTCGAACCTTCAGCACCCCCCAAAAAAGGTCAATTCCACACAGTGAGCCGATTTGATGCCTATGGTAGCTCTGGTCTACCCCAGCTTTTCGTCACACCAGACTGTGTGACACATATGTTTAGCAACACATCCTCTACTGCAGAGGCCACGGGCTCTGTAGCACACGACTCGACACTTACATTGCCGTCCACGAGGTTGAGAATAGTTTCCAACAACATGTGAATTTGATTCTTGAATATTCTCAGGAGCCCTTTGATCACCTCTGGGTCACTGTCTCTGGAACTGACACAGCGAAACCAGTTGTTTTCTACTGTACTCATGCACGAGATCTGAGCAGAAGAAAAACAAATGTGAGTTCCTCTCAAAGCCGTTGATTGCGCCTTCTGTTTTTTACCTACTTTTGCGTCACGATTTGATTTTCCTTGACCTTTGCCTAGTGACAATAACTCATAAATCTCAGTATCTAAATTGTGGGCCAACCAAAACTTTAACCCTATACACTGTAACATCAGTATGAATATTCCCCATACTGTTTTCCAAACACATCCTGAGATGCTGACAAGGAGAATTTGTTTAACAATCAAAAGTATCTTTACTGAGTTGTTGATCATTTCCTTTATTCTCCTGACCTTAATGTGTGATTCAGGGGTGATATTGTAAGGAGAAATTAGATACTAGTCACTCGTAGAGGTAAAAGAGTCCAACTAGCTTCATAAAAAGACCCATCGAGCTGAAAGAAAAGCACGTGTGAAAAGCATCAACGTGTATCGAGTTACATTATTTTTCTTTGATTAAATTTATAGAAGATATGTTATAGCTCCGAAGACTAGGATTTACCATCGGTCTGCGAGATTTTACACTAAGTAACTTGAGAACGTTTCAGGAAATCGTTTCAATCTTCATCGCAAAAGAGTTAGTTAACATGTGACGTCAGAATGAGGTAAAACCAAAGCTGGGTCGCTTGTCAGTACTTCCTTCTTAAGACAATCTGACGTCAACGGTGACTTTGGATTAAACGGACGCATACCAGAGTGGCAACGTGAGGACAATCACATGTAAGAACTTTGCCCTCACTCCAACATATCTATACCCGTGACGTCAGAATGAGGTAAAACCAAAGCTGGGTCGCTTGTCAGTACTTCCTTCTTAACACAATCTGATGTCAACGGTGACTTAGGATTGAACGGACGCATACCAGAGTGGCAACGTCAGGACAATCACATGTAAAAACTTTTCCCTCACTCCAACATATCTATACCCGTTGAAGGTTTTCGAGTCTGAATAAACATTTTTCTACTTCAACTTTCTCATTTTGAGTGTTTTACGCACCTCTTGCATCGCAGTCAATCGACGCCTTAACTTAGTCGAAGTGGAGCAAATATTTTCAAAACAAAGCGCCATATTGAACATAAACAAAGAAAATAATTTTCACCATTCGATCGTTGGCCGTGCATGCCTACTCTGAGAGACAGTTGGCAGTTGGCAGTAACCAATCACGTAGAGTGTGGTGTTTAGTTCAATAACAATATCTGAGCTTATGTGATGACAAACTAAATTAAAGATTCCCAGTCATTGTTACACATCGAACTCAAGCCAACAGCTTGCTCTTCAAACCTGAACTCTAATTCATAGTCTGTTTTGAAACTTTAGCTCACTAATAAGCATCTTAATGCTAATCTGACTACTTTGCATTTAATAGAAAAATAATCCTCTACTGGGATTAAGACAATTACATGATAACCACAGGGGTTATTGTGATCTCGGAATGCTTTACATACTGGACAAGTTCTAGCGCATAGTTTTACCGCCGGTTAAGAGTGTTTAAGCGACATTAGGTCTTGCGAGAAATTGAAAAATCTTGAGCCTCTCCATTTGAAAACTTAGCAATTCTTTTAGGGGGAGTAAGTTCAGGACCTTTTTTACATTTACCTTAAAATTAAATGAAGCACAGAGCTGAAAACCAAATGCTCACAAAAGCAAGGAAACAAACAATAAGGTATTACAAAGACAAATTTTAAAAGAATATAACTATAATTAAAAAGACACAATTTAACAACAAGCTCACCATTTGCTCTCTCCCAATCTCTTTTCCTTTATAAAGATGCCCATTCAACAGTTTGCAGGCCACCACAACTTCATCTGTTATTCTGTAACAAAAAAGAAAAATAATTAGCCCTCAAAAATAGAGTCAACAAATTGGATGTTGAAACTATAAACTTTGTAACATGGGAGGAGTGGGATAGTACTTGAGAGGGAATGAGAGGGGGACACTGAAAAAGCATTACAAGGATATTAAATTTCGTCATTGAAGTGATCAATGGAAGGGAATGAGATGGGTTATCATTTGAAGAAAAGACTCCTTTTGATTTCTAGCAGCTTTAAGTGCGTTAAGAAATTCCATCACATCTTTCAATAGATTCTCTTCAAATACCATTATAAGCCTTTGAACCATTCTTTGAATAAACAAACAAAAAAATTAAAAACAATATTGTATTATCTATGAAAACACGATAGCAATCTGTTGGATCCATTTGCTAATAAGTGGTTAAGTGGCTTTAAGTCCTAAGTCAGGAAAAATGCACAACATTTGACTCACTAAGATCCCAGATATTGCTTCTGAAGAGGATTAGATTTAATAAGCTTAACAAGTTACTTGAGAATAGATACAAAACGTCAATGGATATTTTACTGAAAATAGGATAAAAGATCATGCAGTGATTTAAAGTTCTCAGTCAGCAGTAAATACAAGTTTTTCATGGAAAAAGACCTTAGGTTTTTAAGGCTGACAATAGTAGGAATTCAGACAGTATTAACTTGGCCAATTGCTCAGTTTATTTAGTCTGATGTTTAACTGCCTGAGCCGCACTGAACACGTATACGAGACAGTCTTTCTTGTAAGATTTTACCAACCGCAGTCCTGAAGATACACTACCCATTTCACAGTCAGTGTATTCAAATCTTGTCATTACTTCATTGCATGGACTACCATAACTAATGCACTTATCACAAACCAATAAAGACCAGACTAAAAAAGATCTTCAGCACTGTTACTATAATTAGTAATCAACTCCAAAAAAAGTGGCTTTGAAAACTGAAACTAGATTCCACCAAGTCAATAGAAAAAGATTAAGAGAACGTTTCCCTGAAAAGGACAAAGCTCTATGTCCTCTTGCTTCTAAACAATGAGATTATTTTTAATGAATGCCACTCTAAAATACATCCAGAATATTATGCTCTGAATGCACAAATAAAGTTTTAGTCTAGATCGCTGCTAAGTTTTTTTTTCCCTTTCCTTTTGTGAAAGTGCTACATTAGTTCATCACGATTTTTATCAGTGCATACATGTATAGCACTTGAAGCCAAGATAAAACTACATCCTTACAAACACATATAAACCCATACTAATATAACAGTGACTGAGATGTAACCACAAATCATTGACCCTGTGACACTTACATTGCACAGTCTAATTACTTCATGTAGCAGTCATGACCAAAGCAACATAAGTGATCAGTCATCTAAATAAATGCTTTGTTCATTTTCTCAGCTAAAATCTAACAGCATTGTGATAATTTACTAAAATGGCTATTACTCGACCACATAAAATATAGGAAACACTTATCTACAATAAGTGACAAAATTTTTTAGACTTTACTGTTAGGGTACCAATATTTTAGATCGGTGTACCAATATTTACAAGGCCATTTGAAAAGACACTCATTTTGGCTCTGCCAGTATGTCTGAAAGGCCATAACTATCAATATATAGGTTACATACATAGGTTACATAGGCTAATTTACCACTCCCCACAGGGCTTTTAAGGGCAACACCCATCCATCCCACCCCAGGGAAGGACATCCACCACACAGTAATCTTGTGCATGGGAAATTAACGTCTCCTACCCCTAACCCTGCAGGAGACGGGGCCTACGGTTTACTTGTCCTTATCCGAGAAGACTAGAATATCTATATCCATTTCTTGATATTATAGAAAGATAGCAAATTCTCCTCAGTTATTTTAAGACCATGAGTATTAGTCCGGCCGGGGCTTGAACCCTCGACCTCCCGCACAACACAATCCAGCGCTCTAGCCAATTGAGCTAGATTCTGCATACCATATGGCAGAATAATAATGGCCTTGGGGTAACTTATCTGTTATCAGAAAAAAAAGACTTTGAATCTTTGTCAACTAAAATTATGATGTACACTGTATAACACCAAGTATTGCACATTTAGTGATAAAGTTGTAAATTGATTACCTACAATATTAATTTTCTGTTCTTTTCAAACTCATTTGACATTTAATCACATTTAATAAAAACATGGCTGTGACTTTCCTAAGTATGTAAATGCTTTGAATACCTGTCAAACCCCCACAAAAAATTTGAAATTCAACAAAACTAGTGGTGGAAATGATTTTGAAAATTTCAAGAGAGTTACATGTATCCTGGAATCAATTGTTTCCTGCAAAATGAACACTTTTGAAATGTAACATCTGAGAGAATCTCTGTCGGTAGTAATTGCATTCCAATTTGTTCTGAACAAATTAACATTTGGATAACCTCTTACATGTTTTCAACACATTAGTCACTGCTGTAAGTAATACTTGCCCACCAAAGGGCACAGTCAACTATTACTTTATAGGGAACATAATTATATAGAGGAACAAATAATGTCTTCAAACTTCAAAAAATTGTCTTCACTGACTATTCTGTGGCAAATAAGTTATAGCTTTATGAAGGATCCATACCTAATCCGCTCAGGAGATGGCGTTGTTTCCAAAACTTCACTGGTTTGGCTTGCAGTGTCACTGCTGGGGTTGTCATTGTCAATGCTCTCATCAGACTCATGAAGGTTACGCTCCTTGCTATTCCTAAACACCTTCTTTATGCCATCATTGGAGTACATAAGAGGACTGCTTTGTTTAGACTGTATGTGTCTTACATTTTTAGTTGTAACTGAGCTGTTAGTTTTCATGTTCTTGTTTATGTCCACCATGTTGTTATTATCAACAGAAATTAGATTAGCTTGTATGACTGGTGTGCTATCCTCTGTATTAACATCAAAGTCTCCAACACCAATAGACTGCATTTGAACATTAAAGCAGCGCTCACAGAAGCTGTCAGTGACACAACAGTCTCCAATGGCCACTGTTTGTGTTCTGATGTTCATGCATCTATCGCAGTAGTTATCTGTAATGCAACACTCACTGACACCAAGTGTTCTTGTTTCTATAATGTCACTGCTTGTTCCAACTGACTTTGTCTTCTTATTGGAACATCTGTCACAAATCACATCAACTGAAATGTTTCCACTGCCCACTCCAATAGACCTGGTGTGGAGATTGTCACACCTGTCACAGAAAGAGTCCATGATGCCACAACTACCAACACCGATTGTACGAGTACATGTACTTCTCTTAACAGAGCTAATATTTTCTGTTGATACACATGTTTCTACATCGTTTTTCTCAGCAACAAGATGACTTCCCTCAATAGTTGATTCTGTTGTAACTACAACATCAGAAGTCACCAAACTCTCCACAATGCTTTCAGCCTTTGCTTGAATTTCGGAATTACAAAGTTCACAAACAGAGCCCTCCTCCAATTTAAAATCGCCACTTCCGATAGATGCTGTTTGTAAATTTGAACAGTGGTCACAAAACAGAAAGTCATCAATCTTGTCTTCTCCAGAACCAGTGTCCACAGTAACAACACAGTCAGTGCTGCAGCCAATATTTCTTGTCTTAAGGTTACTATAATAACCACAGTGAGAGTCCTCAGAAACACTGAAGTCGCCAATAGCAACATTTCTACATTCAATCTTTTCTCCAACTGCAATTGTTCTTGTCTCAATAGTGCTGCAGCGATTGCAAAGATAGTTGTCATTAAGGCTGGAATCCCCAACCCCAACAGATCTGTAGAATGGGATGTCAATACGATTGGCCATGATCTCATCAACAGTTTTCACCACTGCACGGGACTTCCTGTTAGAACACTTTCGGCATGATAGTTCATCATCAATAGTGCATATGCCCACGCCAATTGATACCAATGACATGTTTGGACCTCTGCTTGTCTGAACACCAGTGTGAACCATCAGTTTTGACGAATGAATTTCAGTTCCCTTGTATAGAGAACTGTCAGTTGAGTTTTCTTCCATGATTGTACCAATTCCTTTTGAGCTTACATCAGGTTTCACTAACACTGCCATATCTCTTGTGGGCGTGGCAGACAGAGCATCACATGCAGAATCCACCATTCCTACTGATGCCTGAGAACCTTTGCTTTCAGTATAAATAATTGGTTTATCTTCACCCACACCAACATCTCTTGTGAAAGACCTCATCATTCCAACTCCAATTGATCTTGTTTGTACAACTGGTTTAACCAGTTCTTTGACCCCTCTTGCTGGTTGTAAACTGTTTTCGTCCAATTGTGTATCTGTACCAACACACACAGACTTCACAGGAGTCTTGAAGACTGCTGGTGTCACTGTGGGACAACAAGAACAAGGTCCATTTACCAAGTAATCTCCAACACCAACAGAGTTTAACCTGACTCTAAGCTTCTTCCTGATCAGAGCATAGTCATCATCACCATCATTTTCTGTATCACTCTTTGAACCTTTGGAGTGCATGTTGTTGTACACAGAGTATTCAGTACCCAATGAGGGACCTACTGATCGACTTCTCTTTCTATTGCCTTTGGATTGTAACTGCTTTATAAGTTGGCGCTTCTCCTCTTGTAACACAGAAATGCGAACCTGCAAGGTCGGCACATTCCGAACCTGTTCTTCTAACTCCTTCAGTCGCACAAGACTCACAGCCATCTGTTCACGGATTTTCAACAAAGATTGCTTCAACTCAGACTCCGGTGGCAAGTTTGCAATTGACACTTCTAAAAGAGATGTACTTGGTTGCATGCCAGAGGAGTGTAAATTGGCATAGCGCAGGAAATTTAATGGTTCGCTAGGAAACTCAAATGTTCTGTTAGTGAACTGGCTATCTCCACTACTCAGTGAACTGAGGGGAGAGAGACTTCCAGGAGTTGATGAATTTGGACTGCAAGGATCAAGTTCTTCCATGTTCTTGATGCTGCTCCCATCACTATCAGAAATGCTTTCTAATTCCAGTTCATAAGCATGAGTACCTTGACGTACACAAGCATTCTCATCCGAATCAGAACCAAGTGATGAGGGCCTTATCCTTTTAACTCCACCCTTGAGATAGAATGGTTTTGACATTGCCAGACAAAGAATCAACAAATACAGGGCTTAAATCCACATCACCCTGTCAAAACCATGCAGGTCCTACAATAAACAAAGGAGAAACAAATTAGTTGTACAGCAGATTACTGCTCAAATCAAATTGACAGTCCAGACTTGAAACTCCAACCCTGAATTTTAAAAGAGTCCAGCACTGAGAGTCAAGGTTTATGGATTGAATTTCAATTTTTGAGAATGGCCATTGGACTTTCAATTAATTATTGAAGAGAAAAAAAAAAACATGGTAGAACTTTTGATGGAGAAGAAAATAAATATGATTATTATACATGCTAGCCCATATGTAATAGGTCATTACTGCATAAGAGCTTATCTCAGATTCCAGAACATAGGGCATCAGGGTGCTAAGCATTTTGTAAGGCTTCCCTGACAATTCGCCAGTATCCTCTGATACCCCTGGATGGAGAAGGGCACTGTGAGGGACAATTAATTTCTCACCAAGAACATAATTAACACAATTAAGCTCCGAGATCCAACTACTTAGATAATTGTCAAGGCAGGTTGGAAAGAAAATTTTATGACTAAATTTATAGAGAAAGTCAGCAATAATTTGGAAACCTGTGAAAGGCAGTCATGAAACAAGCTCAAACATTTTTACCACTCGAAAATCCTTTCTCTCCCAGGAGTGACATGGAACCAATTTCTCCTTACAATATCAATACGCAAGCAGGTAGGTGATCAGAGTAAAGAAAAATAAAAACAAAGAAATTATCATTTGAATTGACCGAAGAAATAGTAAGGTAAATGTAAAGGCTGAATATAAGCCAACTGGCCCAATTCCGGCCCGTGATTAACTCCAGTTTCCATAGCATGAAGTGACTTAAGGACTATTTCTACTCCTCCCTGGATGGGATGCTACTCCATCCAAGAGTTGCCCCCCAGCATTAAATTTGCTGGTACCCATTTAAACACTAGGATGAAGAGAGGCAATGTGGGAGTAAAGTGTCTTGCCTAAGAACACAACACAGTGTCCCCAGCCAGGGCTCAAACCTGGACCACTCAATCCGGAGTCAAGCGCACTAACCATGAGGCCACTGCACCCTTCCTGACCAAAGAAATATTACGGGAAAATCTGCAGTGACAGCCGGTAGGCAGTGAGGAGGATTATTATTGACTTCTTGGGAGTAAAAGGGTTAAACAGGATTTAAAATTTGTAAACATATCTGTAATAGTGTGCAAAATGTCCTTTTTGTCTTCCTTTTTTTTTTGTCCACAGAAATTTAATTTGAAGTGACCATTAATGATGGGTCCCCCTCCAGGTGAGTGAAAAAATTTGGAAATATTTGAGCTCTGAGCCAGGGATTAATCTGTCTGGTTCAGACCTTTCGACTAGTAACCACAAGAACATGTTTAAAATTAACCCTTCACAACCCAACATCAGTATTTTCTATTCTCCATACTGTTGTCTCTACATCTTTGGTGGTGCAGCCGAGGAGAATTTGTTCAACAATCAAGAGCTTCTTTAAAGTTGGTGATCACTTTGTTTATTCTCAAGACCTTACTGTTCGATTCAGAGGAGTGATAATGTAGGGAAAAATTAGATGCTTGTCACCTTTAGGAATTAAATGGTTATAATTAAGATGAAAAAAGTTTGAGGTGCAAAAGTTCTGTTATGTTGAAATTTTACCAATCACAAATTAAGCTAGAACAGTGCAAGGCTGTGATCTAGCAGTGCCAGGTGACCTTGGCACCTTACTTTTGCTCTTGGGTTACTCAAGTTTTACTTTTTTCATATAAAGCATATGCTAGGCACCCTGGATTTCACAGTTTCAGAGCAATGGGCTCCATTCAATTTTCCTTAGAGCACAGCCTTGCAGTGTACCACTTTTGTTCACCCTACAGGTAGTTACTACTTAGTCGCAGACTGTGGATGAATGAAAGAAGACATAAATACAGATTTGTCAAAGTTAGAGAAATTGTCTTTGTTAAGGAGATCAACTACAACAATTCTCTCTCCTGTTGATGTTGCTTAACCTTTTCACCCTCAAAATCTCTGGAGGAATTTTCATTAGAGTCTGCCATAATAACATTAATTCTGAGAATTTAGTACTGGATCAACCATTAATGCCCCTATTTTTCTTTACTCTCATCACTTGTCTGCTTGATGTTGTATTGAAACTGTCTTGGTCACCCACAGGGAGTTGAATAGTTACTCACTTGCTTTATCTACAGACTTGAATGATTGTGCAATATTAATTTTTATCCATTGATAGTGAACAATTAATTGCACTTAAATAACGAAAATTCCATACAAATTTAACTTGGACACTTCATTTACCATGATAATTGGATGAATGTCACGTGCTATGAACTTAACTAGATCAAGACTCTCACGAGAGAAAATCTGCATTTTTCAATTCACTTTTAAGATTTAATTTTGAACAGCACATCCAACAAACTTGACAGGAAGAAAATGTTTGTCTAGACATCTAACAATGACACCTTGTTGTGCACATTAGTCTGACAGATAAAGGAATTATATGTCTATCTTTTCTTGAAGCAAAACATAATTTCAACTCCATGCAAAAATAAAAAACCTTTTCTAATTAAATTCCACGGCCAAATCAAGAAGAGCAGAGATTTAACCTAGTCAAAAATTCAAAACCTGTGATTGTTGAAAGAGACTGGCTCTGTGCACAACAGCTGTGCGTCAAAATCACAAAATGGCGCATCAGTTTTGGACGTTTTTATAATAATCGCCTCCCTCAAGATAAAAGCTCTACATGAGTTTCTTTGAAGCATGTATATTGTTCAATTGTTTTGTATACTTACTGTTGGATAAGATTTCTGCAAATTATGCTATCATCTATGTTTCAAATATTCTGAAATTGTTTCCAAAACTGTTCCAGAGAATGCTTACCGCATTTGACCGCCATTTAGAGGGAAATTCGAGCGCGTTAATTTGTTTTCCGGGAGCAGATACGCACAGGAAGAGGTTCACAACAGATATAGTTACAAAGTCATTAAATGAAGATGTTTGCCTCACTATATGGAGTATAATGAAAGCATACTATAACCAATGAGACGACAAATTAACCTTCTGTTCTTATCTGTTTTATCTGTAGATTGCGTCGAGGGACTATCAAAACATCCGCACCATACGTGTGCTTTATTTAAACGATGCGTAATTCACGAATCGATGTGGTTTACAATCGCTACTTTTTTTATGTAAGCCGTTTAAAAATCGCTAAGATTTTAACCCTGAAAGAGTGTCGTCAAGGACAGATAATCTGCGGGAAATTTGAGAGAGCCCTGTTGATATGTCGTGACGATGTCTAGAGGCATGAGAAAGCGTTTAATGACTTGATTAAAAATATAAACAGACACGGAATATCTGTGACAGATATACGCACATGTGTATACATTCAATTTATTCGCTTTTCACGCTAGCTTATCTCGATTCTACTGTAGAGATCGACTGATTCAGACGAACCCCATTGAAAATGTCTATTTAATCTTACAATCTTGGAAACTATGGAAATCCTTGGCTTAGCTCCACGTTTACACAACAGCGAAGAAACTAATGCTCCGGAATTTCGTGGGATGATTAATCAACAAGAAAGGAATGTTTCTCTAATCCTGTGATGCGTACATTGGTACCGTATATATTGAGCAACGCTAAATTCCATAACGGTAGATAAAAAAAAATATTAATCAATCAGAAGAACATGTTTAGCATTGAACCTTGGGGATAAAAATTAAGTTCACGCCACTGAAACAAAGTGATCACGAGGGTTTATCAAGAACCTAAATTTCTTCTGTTTTTTTTTTTAAGTATGTTTGAATAAAATTTCGTTCCTTATCGTGATAGATGGTGCTCGTTAAATTGACAATCTTATAATAACGATTTTCTCCAGTATTAATCTTTCTAATAATAGTTCAACCTAAGTTTCGCACGTGAAGAGAATTACTTTTGTGTCGATGCTAAAGATTAACGCTCTCTCCCCTAAAGGCCGACTCAAGAGTTGAATCAAAGACAGATCACTTAAACATAAAATTATACTATAAGACAAAGCAAGTTTCGCCTTAGGCTCACGGCGAGAAACATAATTCGTTTAAGTGTGCACTGTGAACACCATAAACAATTACAAATGTTCTTTATCAAAGGACAATAGAAAGGATGAAGACAAAAGAACAAACAACATTGCCTGTGATACCTCTTCGAAGACTCTCTTTCGATGTTACAGAAAGGTCGTCTAATGAAATCGCGTTCGGGGATCGCAAACTGTCTGTCGCGGTTCCTTGTCGCTGCTTGCCAGTCGAGAAGAGATCGTGATGTTGCACAAATCGACTGATAAGCAAGAACGCACGTCAAGTAGGTCAAATCAAAGGTGACTTCGTATCGGTACAGCTTTCAAAGCGCATGTGGTCTGAAGGTAACGAGTGGCAGGAAACTGCTAGAAAGGAAATGAAAGATCGATCAAAAAAAACAACCGCCGCTTGGATTTCAAGCCTCTGTTTCCTCCGATTACCACAAAAGAGCCAGCTAATACTTAATACTTGCTCTGCGTGATATTGTAAGCCACACACATTCAATGTATACGAATCTGTTCGCATTCAATTCAAATCTGCCCTGGCCTTTGCTTCTAAACATCATTTACTCAACGTTTCGCATCAGCGCACAGGCCACGGTTTTGCATAACAAAAACATCCACGATAATTTTTTTTCTAAATCAAACGAGTAAGTGTCACCTAAAAGGACATAATTAACACTCAGCCGCTACAAATCATTAACTAAAATGAATGCCACGGTGTGCTTCTAATTAACTAGCCACGTTTATTGCCAAAGGCAAAATAAAGCTTACTGTGAGAAAAATTTTACGATATTAATCCTGTCCGGTTTGCAGGCTTGAGAACGTTTTATATATGTATGAATGTTGCGCTGGACATGCAATTAGCAACTCTAAAAGCCAAATATAAGAGAAATATCCACATGCCAAAGAACCATAGAGTTGTGCATAAGAGGTTTAACTACACTACGTAGCAACGGCATGCACCTCTTTTGCCAAGCTCGTGTAGAAGAGCAAAGTACACAGTGAGAGTTAATAGAACAAGTCAAAAGTCAATAAAAATGTAAGCTTACCTATGCTAGATTCCTCGGTGACTACGTGGCTTTGGTCTCTCTGTAATTTGTTTAAGCCCAAGCTGTTTACAGGTCCTTAAGAAAAGAATTTTTTTCGTGCTAAGAGCGGCTTTTCAAATTCAAAATGGATGACCCTTATCATAATAAAATACGATGTCCGTGGTCTCCAGAGTGTCAGTTGAACCGTGAATGGGATGGCACGTTTGCGCGTGGGGGCGTGGGACGGAGCACTTTGTTGGCACAGTGGTGCAATACTATCTTGTTTTGTGTGATGATATATTGTTTTGTTTTGCTCTGTTCTACCAAAGATTTATATCTCGAATACTGCTCTTCAAGAATGAGAGCGAAAAGCCATTTTGGCAAACTTAAGAATAGATGTTAATCCAAAGAATATAAAGAGACGCTTTATTACTTTTGATAGCCTCGGGCAATGTTGATATGCTATTTATACCCAAATAGGTGGCTAAATGATCTATTTCAAGCTAACCGTTCAGTTAAAGTATGTGCGCGTGATATGGCATGAATGATAAAGAACGATAAGTGTCTTTTTGTGCTCTTTGCACACGTTCGATGTCTTATTGGCTAATAGCCCTACGGTAATGGGCGTGAACGGGCAAGCACTGATTTTAGTAGGCTTCCCCTGGCATCGTCAAGTGACAAGGTATATTACAATGATATATACGGTGTATTCGTGTTAAGCAAGGGCTGCTAAACCGAAACTGAAATCGATAGAATCGCGTTCTTTCTCTACCTCACGCTTAGAGGAGGGACCCTTAAAATGATATGCCATGTGACTGTAGCTATTTCGCAGAAATAGTCTGACCCTTAGGTTTCAGGTTGTCTGTCATGTTAAGAGCTCGTTGCAGGCGGGGGTAAAAACTTCCTGCATGTAAAATGTTCAAATAAAATTAAAAATGTAACTGAATATCCCCCTTCTTCTTTACATTTTGAAAGCCATCGTCACTTCCTGATACAAAATCCCCCTTAGCGATTTGTATCCTTCCCGTTATCATTTTCACCGTCTGCCGGCCGATGATAGTCCAAATATTGCGTTCGGAAAATCTACTTAAATAAGCCACATTCATTATCATTCGCTCGAATGATGACACTGGTTAACGACTGGGAGATGAATATCCCCTCAGAAAAGACACATACGTCGGTCTCAGGAAATTATACAGTTGAAGTCGCGTTAATGCGGTGGCCCCAGCAGAGTCCGCGTTGAGAGCCGCTGTGGGTTTGGCCATGATTTGGCACGAAATATTAGAAAAATATGGGAATTACAAAATATGCAATGCGAACCGCTGAACTGCTGGCAGGCAAGCGATTAATACCAATCTTTCATCTTTATCAATAACGTACCTTGTACTTTTCATACAAACTGTATGCTATAAAGAATTCCTTGAGCTACCTCGCTGATCTTCAGATATAGGCCTGACGTCATTTTAATGATCTTAAGATCTTACTGAATGATATTGTAAACTGGTCAACAGTCGTTGCTGATGATAAAACATAATTACTAGCTTTGCGAGCAGGCCCTTATCACTAGCACGTGAGCATGAGCTGTTTCTCCACCCACGTGAAAGTTGAAATCCCTGAGCAATGCGAGCCGGCGAGAGATCTACAAGGGGTGACACTGCGGTCATACGTGTTGATCATGCGCAAGGGGATCGATTCTCCCGCGCAAATTTCAAAGGAAATTGTAAGAATCGAAACAACCACTGTCTCGCAGCGTAAGCAAAAGGAAATTGAGACGTTTATAGAAGTCTGTATAAGGAGAAAAGTAGGGCAAAGGAAAACTTGACATTTTTAGATCTCAGAGCTTATTCAAACACAAAGCCCATTCGAACACAAACTGCTTGGCACGGGTATTCTGTGTATTTACCACTCTGTCTTGAACTTTAGCGTAAAAGTTTGATGATACCCTCCTAAAACACAGTGGCTTGTGTAGTTGTTCGTTACTTGTTTGAGACAACTCTTTATGCAAGCCTAAAAAGCACGCGTACGCCACCTTCTCGCCAACTAGTCATAGCATCGTTCAAACATGCGCAAACGTTTGACCGATGTGTGGCAAGGAGTCCAAAACCAATAAACCTCTCCCCGACTCGTATCTGAATCTTTCTAGATACGATAAATGGGCAAAGAAATGCGCATCCTGCAGATCTAACAATGAGTGCCAGCTCTAATGATGAGCGCCAGCTCATGGGCTAATATGATATCGGTAGAATGTCGAAGAATGCATGACACAAAAGTTTATCAACACGCATATACAAAGCCGTGAAAACTCCTCACATTATTATAAGAGGGTCTCAATGAGGGGGTCAAGTTTACGGTTGACGATTAAAAATAAGCCCTTTTGACAGTTGAGGTTAAATTTTAGGTCATTTGACGGTTAACGGATAATTTTTTTGGAATGTCGTTTACAAAACCAACGAACTGCGCGAATTTGGCTGTAATTTTTCATAATGAGGCGTTTGTAAAGAAATGTTAATTTGAAAAAGCTTTTATTAGTGAATGACTAGCTTTTTCGACACCGGAAGTGTTTCCACACCGGAAGTCAGTTCTATCCCTAACCAGTTTTACTCGCGACTAGAAGTTAACCCCATTGAGACCCTCTTATAATTATGTCGAACCAATCAGGTATTTCCAAGGACAGTCTAGTCAGTATGACTACAGTCCATAAAGGTCCATTAATATGACTGAGTGGTTCCAAACTGAAGCCCTGTTCACTTGACTAGACCTCTCTGACAATGGTAACAAGTGGTATATACAAGTAGGGCATTGTATGTTCTTTGTAGAGTTATATGTTTCCACGCGTTACTGATTTGTTTCCTCAGAAATGTACGTTGAATTCAAACGCTGACTGAAAAGCTGGAAGAGTTAGTCAGTTCCAAGGCTAAATTTAGAACATTGTTTTTAAACCAGTTGGCTACGCCTAAGTATAATTCTGTTATTTTCTCTTGATAATTTTGAATAGTTCTATAAAGATAAAGTCAGATAAAGTCAGATAAAGTTTTCTGATAAAGTCACGCAAGTCAAGTTTGAATTTCTTATGGTTGGCGTTTTAGACTTGAAGTTTCTATTTTCGGTTGAGCAAATCCTAAGTCATCTCAAAGTCATCGCTGTGAATCCTCTATCCTTAGCTGTGAATGGCAGTTTTATCTTCATTTTATGAGATCAAAATTACACAATATAGACTACGCGCAGTCCTTCCTTTTAGGCGAAGTTCGTCGCGCGAGTAAAAAATATCAGTGAAAACAATTTGATGTTAGCGCGCCATGGGGAATTCTTGGAGTGACGCGGATGCGCCCAGGGAGCTCCATGAGTGAGGCGCTAAAAAAGTAGGGTGCCTCAATCATGGAGTTCCCGCGGAGGGAGGGACTGCTTGTAGTCTATAACACATACAACGTAATGTTGACTGTGTGAATTAACCTCTTAAAGCAAACTCAAACTTAACGAAACAACACCAATTGGATAAACGCATGAATGTAATTTCTTAACAGTCACGCCATGTTATGAACAGTTATAGATAATTCCTAGATATATTTGTCTTGGAGAAGTGATAATTTTTTGTTTGTTTATGCCGTTCAAGAGTAAAATGCCAGCTGTTGAATACATCTTGATACCTTTCTGGTTATGCAGCAGAGTAAAACAAATTGATAAGCAGAGAGTATGGCAATATCTCAAGACTTCAAACATTTTCTCTTTCAGTTACGTCGAAGTCCATCGCACGAAAATCAGCGGAAAATACAAATTAATGTTAGTGCACTCTTTTAATTTTGAAATCACGCATATGATTTTAGACCAAATTGCACTCCACTCAGTTCAATTACCATTATTAATAGGAACTTCGTCGTGCGTTTTATCACGGAAAACATTATTTTGTTAAGGCTCATGGTTAAAAGATAATTATGATAGCTAGAGAGTATAAACTAATCTCTGGTGATAAGCTTTTGCTTTCATCTACAACATTTAGTCCCACTTGGAAATTAAAAACCTCAATAAATGACGCAAAGAAAAAAATTTGTGTTGAACAACTTATTCAAATACTTCTGACAGCCACTGTACCGATTCTGTAATATCTGTAGGGAAACACCTGTCGTAGACATAATCCCATGGCCGATAGCTATATAGGACACACAATTGTCATTACAGAACATCGTAGATTTACTTTAATTTTCTTCCGCCAACAAACCTCTCTATGAAGAAATGAGAATGGAGTATGAAGCGTTGATACTAGAACAAATCTTTTCAGGCGATTGGAGTCTGTTTGAGGGTTTAAAATGTCTGGTTTACTCGATTAATTAACAACATTTCGAAGACTTGACACTCCAGTTTGCGAAGGATTACGAGATAATTCTAATGCAGGTTCATTTTTCTTACATTTTTGTAGTCATTCAATTTCTTTCCGATAGCGGAATGTCAGACTTCTCTTCCAGTCGCTGGAGAGGGAGGAGGCACGCGCTTTTTCTAGGTCTACTCTGGGGCCTTAAGTCGCCGTAACTTTGGGTGACTTTGGGCGATTTAAGGCGACTTAAGCAAAATTGGCTGAAACAACATTGCGACTTCAGGCGATTTAAGGCGATTTAGGGCGATTTAAGGCGACTTAAGGCGACTTAAAGCGATTTTATTTGACTTAAGGGATAAAATCAAAGTTAGCAAAACTGGACTAATGTCGAGTCCAGTGCACCAAACATTTAGCCACCATGCCTCCTCCTCTGACCCTTATGATTAGAGTGGAGTGAATGAAGTCAATTGGGATTAGGGTGGAACCCTTATAACATTGCGTAACCAATAGCGACTTAAGGCAACTTAGGGGCAACTTAATTCAACTCAAGGCAACTTAAGGCAACTTAAGGCAACTTAAGGCGACTTAAGACGACTTAAAGCAACTTAAGGTCCCAGAGTAGGCCTTTTTCCACTTTACTCTTTTATCTAATTTTATACACTCTAAAAATTCAACACGTTATAGGATAAAATTAATAATTTCGTATCTATGCTAAAAAAACTAATCTTGGAAGTACAAAATTGCTGATTGTATATTAACAGTTTCTTTGGAAATTAGAAGCCTGGCGCCACTGTATCTGATGCATAAATTCAAGACGGAACAAGGCCTTAAATTGTATAGCAATTTTATCTCCCTAACGGTTACAGGGTAAAATTTTCCGGAGGGCTGCGCCACTTTTACTTAAACTATGTTTAAGATAGATCTTTACGTCTTTTAGTGATAATTACAGAGGGATCGTGGCCAAGCGGGCTTTTGTTTTTACGCCAGTTGTTTCTTCTTGCTGATAAAGAAATCACTCATGATGGCGACGACAAATCTAACAGCAGGTGGCCATGGAACCCAGATGACATTTGAAGAACTGATATGTTCTTCTTCTTATGTTGGACGACTACAGAAACAACAGTCAAATTATATGTCAGCAATAATACTTCTTCTCTCCGTCACAGCATTTCTTGGTAATTCTCTGATTCTTGCTGCCCTTCACAAGGAATCCTCCCTTCACCCGCCCTCCAAACTCTTGTATCGCTGTTTGGCAACAACTGATTTGTTGGTTGGTCTTGTTTCCCTGCCTCTCTATGCTACTTATTGGATCTCCGTGGCTCAAGAAAACTGGGGTCTTTGTCGACACGCAAGGGACACAGCCTTCATAGCAAGCTATACATTATGTTCAGTGTCTTTATTGACAATGACGGCCATAAGTGTGGACAGACTTCTCGCCCTGCTGCTGGGGCTGAGATACAGACAAATTGTAACTTTGAAGCGCACAGGTATCATTGTAGCTACCTTTTGGATTGTATCTGGTCTCGCTGCTTTAGGCCACATATTTGACTACCGTATCACTTCTTGGTTTGGCCGTATAAATTTACCATCTTGACTAGTAGTCTCAATTGCCTCGTACACAAAAATATTTCGCGCACTAAGTAATCATCATAGACATGTAAACGATCACATTCAACAACAGCTGAGTCACCCAAATGTACTGAACATAGCGCGTTACAGAAAGGCAGTGTATAGTGCGCTATGGGTGCAGTTAGCTTTAGTTGTTTGTTATTTACCGTTTAATTCGGTTGTAATTGTAATGAGCTATAGCAAAACGTATCCATCGCACCTAGTCTTTATACGGGAAGTAGGAGTAGTGTTAGTTTACTTAAACTCCACGTTAAATCCGATCCTTTATTGCTGGAAGGTTTGTGAAGTGAGACAATCAGTGAAGCAGTTGATTAGACAAGCTCTTTGCTATTCGTGGAGTTAAATCCCTCTCCAAAGCTGACTCATTAAGTCTCGGCTAGGGAACACACGACAGATACGGTCATTCCATAGGAGGATATAAGATTCTAAAAGCAATCGCTGCACGAGATATGATTGTCGTTCGCAATTTTCTTCTTTGCTGTTGTTGTTGTTCCTTTTTTTGATGATGAAAAATTGGATGAAAAGCATTGAAAACACTATCTCTTTTCAAAAGAACGTTTCATACCACCAACGTTGTTCATGAAAACAACAAGCCAAATCGGAAGAAAAAATATGTGCAGGCATTTATTCTCATGTAAATCCTTCTCGTTTGAAGGCATGGGATAAAACATCAAACAGTAGTTTACGAGAGCTGAAAATTAAAAAAAAAAATAGCTTTACTTCGACTCCATATTGCCAAAAATAAAACTGGATTTAAGTTTCAGTTCAAGGTAAACCACAATATCAGCACACAATCTAGCATATATGTATGATACACGATTTCATGTATTCATTGTATCTGATTTATCATCACGGGTTTATTACGAATCAACTTAACGGCCTGCTCCTAGTTGGCTTGTTAGCTCAATTGGTAGAGCGCTGCACTAGTATCGCAGCGGCCAGTGGTTCGAATCCCGTACAGGCCTGATTTTTTTCAGGTCTGATTTTCGCTATTGCAGAAATAGCGCTCTTTACTGCGAGGATCGTGTATCATACGTATCTAATACCGCAGTTCAAAATATATGAACTTTCATATATTCATTGTATCTAATCTTGCATATGTTTTCAAAGTGCTGACGTGTAGCTTTATTTTGGAATGGAAATTTTGACCGGTGGTCGCAAGTCACCTGTCAAAAACATACAGTTACTAGATTCAACTATTAAATATGGAGCTTCAACCTCATTCAAACACCATCAAGCCATAAGCTGGGCTTTGCTGCTGGAAAAATACTTCATTTACAAATATTACTTAAATAGCAGTAGTCAACAATTTGTTTGAAGATGAGAGGTTCTTAAAAGCCCTTTACCGCGGATTGATGGGCTGTTTCAAGTCTGATTTCCGCTGTCTTGAATTACAATCAAACTGAGAATACGCATTTTAAAACGAGAACGCAGTAGTGTAGTAATGGCCTAAGACAAGTTTTACTCTTTCAGTTCGTGTAGTGCTGCCCACCAATTTATGATTAAAAAAATGTAAAACATTTCATCGAATAAATCAATTTTTCGAACCAAAATGCACTGCTTCGCCTAAAGAAAGACCAGGTTATTGGGTATACTCGCCCTCTGACCTTCTATACCAAGTTGTCTCCCTTTTTTCTCCAAATCATTCAAACCCCTCCCCTAGAGAGTAAATGGTCCGCCCCATGTATAAAGAAATAACTTGGAATCGTGTCACTCGCCTTATGAATCATACAACTGCTCAAAAATAATATGTAAGGCCACAAATGCAAACTATCTTAAAACATTTCAGATAAACTATGTGACTGATCACATTTTGCAACTATTTTTTTCTCCGTTTCGTCTCAGACTGGAACTAGAAGCTACAGTAAAACGTTGTCAGCAATTTCTTTTTCTCCTTCTTTCGTCGGCAAATTAAGGTAAGATCGGATTGTTCTGAATGATTGCAAGCCAAAGCTCGTCCATGAGACATGACAGGGCAGAACATGCCTGCACTGGAAGTACCTCCCGTTGTCCCATAAAAAACCTTAAAAAACGTTTCTAAGGCTTTGTATGGGACAACGGGAGGTACTTACAGTTCACGCATTTTCCGTCCTGTCTGCCTTGATCCAATTTTCTTTTTTTTCCAACGTGTTCTTAACAAGAAGACGAGAAAAGTATTTTTCTGTACTAGCAAGCTTTCACGCATAGCGAACCCGATCCCCAAGTCGTTAGATTCTTCTAGCTGCGATTCTTTCGAGCGATGAACAATTGTACTCTGATACTGATGTGAACAAAATAGTTATTAATCGAGATCGCCGACAGCGTCGACAGTGTTATCACGTGATAAACAATTTATTTCATTCTACGTTTATTAACAGCAGTTTTCATTTATAAACCTCTAGTTGCTCTGGGCTACGTCTCAAGGAGCTCTAAGGCATCTTTCAAGCTCTCCAAACCACCCGTCTATTTCATATCTTAATCAACAAACACTGACGCACTCTGAAATCAATTGACATTAGTCAGCTATGACATGCACGGCTTCTTTATAAGTGTGGGGTTTGTACTAAATTATTCATTAAGATTTTCGGTACTGAATTACTTCTCTTTCCACTCTATATTCTTTTTTAAATTCAGTCTTTTATTAAACGACGGGGAAAAAGATGAAAACCAAACGAGTGATTTAATCGCTAAAAGATGCAATGATTTATTTCAATTTTGTATAGAAATTCTATCCTCGGAAATTCTCTTTCTTATTCTTCTTGATTGCTCCGAATTATTGACCGCTGCTAAACAAATATTCAATAACATGTGGGCTGCATTTCACAGTTTACCTCAATGACTAAAGTTTAATTAAAGTAAAAATTAGCATTGAAATCAATACCCTTGGCAAGCACAAAGACATGAGCTGTATAACAAAACAATAAGGAAACTCTATTTTATCACTTTTTTGATGCTGAAATATGCAATTTGTTAAGATAACAGGCTCTGATTTTCTGAGGCCAATAGTTAAGATATTCTCTTTGTATTTTTCCATCTGCTCCATTCAAACCTTTTTAAGTAAGGCTGATGAGTAATAGTTAGGAATAGCTAACCGCTCCTAATTAGATTTAGTAGATATAGAACTAATAAATAAGGACACAACTTAATCAGTTACCAACTGGATATAGAGCGATCATTTTTATCAAATATTTTTTAAAAACTGTTAACTGTTTTATTTGGAATTTCTATACGCCCCTTAAAATATTATTTCAGAAAAGACGACCAACTGGTGATGGTCGATTTTATTTCATCAAATTTCTTAAGCATCGTTAGTATATACAAGTGACATAAAAAAACATCCTCGCATATTTATGTCAAGCATTAAATTGACACTATAACAAGGTCAGATCAAGTTCGCAACCAATACTCTACCAGTTCGTTTGGCAATATGGCATCAACTTCAAGTGCCGGCCTTTTTGTAAGTGTGAATAAAACTTGAATTTTTTCTGTTATTGTACCTCGAACAACTAGCTCGCTTAAACAACTTTTTGAAGTTTTAACCGATGCCTTCGTATTGAAAATCAAGAATGAACATCAAACATTGATGAAGGGAAATATTCGCTTCGACAACTATCAAGCAGCGATCTTTTTTTAGCTTTTAGTTTCTTTCCAGTCAATAACATATTCGTCAAGCGTTCTCTAAAACAAATTTTTTTAGGTCTGCTTTGAAAGTATTGACTCGAGCGTAACTCAAGAGTGATCTAACTCCATGGACAGCAAAGTGCTTGTCTAATTGTCTTCTTCACTGCTTGCCTTATTTCACTAATCTTCCAGCAGTAAAGAAATGGATTTAAAGTCGAGTTAAAGTAAACTAAGACAACTGCTACTTTCCGTAGCACGACAAAATATGATGAATATGAAATATACTAATATGGTGTTTATTCAAACCTTTTGCAGAGAGCTGAATTACAGGTTTGTTACAATGAGATGTTGTTAAGGTTGAGAACAGACGTCGGCAGTTTCTCAGGCGCCTCTGACAGCCGCTTCAGTCCATATCGATCTCACCTTCCCACCCATCCCACCCCAGGGGAGGACATCCATCACACAGTAATCTCATGTGTGGGAGATTAACGTCTCCTACCCCAACCCTGCAAAAGAAATAACTTGGAATCGTGACATTCGCCTTATGAACCATACAACTGTTCAAAAATAATATGTAAGGCCACAAATGCAAACTTCCCTAAAATATTTGAAATAAACTATGTGATTGATCACATTTTGCAACTCTTTCTCCTACGTTTCGTCTCAGACTGAAGCTAGAAGAGAAACATAAACAAGAGCAAAATATTATGCCAGGAAAACATTTTGAGCAATTTCTTTTTCTCCTTCTTTCGCCAGCAAATTCACGTAAGATCGAATTGTCCTGAATAATTGCAAGCCAAAGCTCGCTCCACAGAATCTTGGTCCAATTTTTTTTTTCCAACGTCTTGTTAACAAGAAGACGAGAAAAGTATTTTTCTATACAAGCAAGCTTTCATGTAAAGCGAACCCAATCCCCAGGTCGTTGAGCTCTTCTAGCTACGATTCTTTTGAGCGATGAACAATTGTACTCTGATAACTGAAGTTAAATTTGAATACTGATGTGAACAAAATAGTTGTTAATCGAGATCGCCAACAGTGTCGACAGTAAAAAAAAAACTGTTATCACGTGATAAACAATTTATTTCATTCTACCTTTATTAACAGCAGTTTTACTCATGAATCTCTAGTTGCTCTGGGCTACGTCTCAAGGAGCTCTAAGGCATCTTTCAAGCTCTCCAAACCACCCGTCTATTTCATAACTTAATGAACAAACACTGACGCACTCTGAAATAAATTGACATCAGTCAGCTATGACATACACGGCCTCTTTTTAAGTGTGGGGTTTGTACTAAATTATTCATTTAGATTTCGGTACTTAATTGCTTCTCTTTGGACTCTATATTGGTTTTTTTTAAATTCAGTCTTTTATTAAACGACGGAAAAAAAGTTGAAAAAACAGACGAGTGATTTAATCGCTAAAAGATGCAATTATAATTTGTTTAATTTTTGTCTAGAAATTCTATCCTTGGAAATCCTCCTTATTCTTCTTGATTATTCCGAATTATCAACCGCAGCTAAACTAATATTCAGTAAGGTGCTGCAATTACCAGTTTACCTCAATTATTAAAGTTTGATTCCAGTCATAAAACAAATTAGCATTGAAAGTTAATCCCCTCGGCAAACACAAAGACATAGGATATATCACTTTTTAAGAAAACGATAATGAGATTGCTTAGATAACAAGCTCTAATTTTCTTAATAATTTGGATATATCAACAAAGTTGAAGTGGGAAATTGACCACCTTAACGATTACAAAAGCTAACGCTCGAAACGTCAGCTTTTGTAATCGTTACGGTGGCCAATTTACCACTTCAACTTTGTTGATATATCCAAATTATTTCGTTACTCCCACCGACGCAGCCCCAAACAGTTTTTCGAAACTATCAGCCTTTTATTCATTTCTAATTTTCTTAATCAGTTACCAACGGGATATGGAGTAATCCTTTCTATTGCATGTTTTTTAAAAACTGTTATCTGTTTTAATTGATATTGCCATACGCCCCTTAACATATTATTTCAGAAAAGACGAACAGCCGGTGATGGTCGATTTAATTTCATTAAATTTCTTAAGTATCGTTAATATATACAAGTGACACACAAAAAAGCCTTCACATATTTATATCAAGCGTTAAATTGACATTATAGCAATGTCAGAACAAGTTCGCAACCAATACTCTATCAGCTCTTTTGGCAATATGGCATCAACCTCAAGTGCTTTCTTTTAAGTATGAGTTAAATTTGAAGTATTTTTTTCTGTTATTGTACCTCGAACAACTCGCGTACACTACTTTTTGAAGTTTTGACCAATGCCTTCGTATTGAAAACCAAGAATGAACATGAGACATTGATGTAGGCAAATATTTCCTTCTACAACTATCAAGCAGCGATCTTTTTTAACTTTTAATTTGTTCCTATTCAATAACATATTCGTCAAGCGTTCTCTGGAACAAATTGTTTTAAGTCTACTTTGAAAGTATTAACTAAAGCGTAACTCAAGAGTGATCTAACTCCAAGGACAACAAAGTGCTTTTCTAATTGTCTTCTTCACTGCTTGCCTTATTTCACTAATCTTCCAGCAGTAAAGAAACGGATTTAACGTCGAGTTAAAGTAAACTAAGACAACTGCTACTTTCCGTAGCACGATAAAATATGATGAATATGTTTTAGTATGAGCGATCGCAGTCTCCACTATATAAAATGGCGCATAACAAACAACAAATGCTGACTGCACCCATAGTGTACTGTACAATGCCTTTCTGTAACGCGCCAAGTCCAGTGTATTTTGTTGGCTCGGCTGTTGTTGAACATACGTTTTTACTCGAGACTGTTGATGCCTGAGAATGCAATAAATTTTTGTGTAAGAGACGAGTGAAATAACCAGGCAAAATGGTATAACAATGCGGATGTACAGGACAGTTATACGATTAACAAAAACGGCAATTAAAGAAAAAGTTAAAGATAAAACCCAAAATAGAGTGACAATGATATATAAACACTTCAAGGTTACAATGTGTTTGTATCTCAGCCCCAACAGCAGTGCGAGAAGTCTGTCCACGCTTATGGCCGCCATCGTCAATAAAGAAACTGCACTTAAGGCAACGCCTGTTATGTATGCTGGGCCATTTGTGTATCGACAAATACTCCAGTGTTCGTGAACCAAGGACATCCAGTGGGTAGCAGCAAGAGGCTGGCTAACAAGACCAATCAACAGATCAGTTGTCGCTAGACAACGATACAGGAGTTTGGACGGCGGATGAAGGGAAGATTCCTTGTGAAGGGCAACAAGGATCAGAGAATTGCCAAGAAAAGCTGTGATGGCGAGGAGAATGTCAACTGCTGCGAAAAAGGTTGATGCGAGTTGAATTCCACCGACCAAAGTAGGGGAGCATCGCAGGTCTAGAAATGTTTTAATGTGTGTTCCACCACTACTGAAATCTGTCGTAGACATTATTTTGTGTTCGTTTCCGTTTTCTTGTGGGTTATCTGTTCTTACAAAACAACACAGCCCTAACCACGCAGACTGAAAGCTTATTCCCTTTTTAAGAACCTTTTAACACTTGTCAAATAGGGTTTATTCATTATACTGCGGAAGAAAATGATCTGATGTGTCAGTGGCGAGTTAGACATGAATTAGAAATAACTGGTAAGCACACAGACATCTTAAATATCATTTTAAGTTGCGAGGAAAGATCCTTATTAATTCAGTCAGATTAACTGACTGAATTTGAGACTTAACTCATTATCAGCCTCGGGAAATTTATAGGAAAAATTTCAAGCTCGCGATGCACTCGATCCGAAAAAAAAAAAAAGATTGATATCCATCGATACATAAAAATTTTCAAAATTAATATTTGGTCAGAGGTGTCAACCTGTATTAAATTATTTGAGCTTCACTTCGTAAGTTACGAAATCTGACACCTTTTTTCACACCGTTTCTTCTTGGATTAGATTTAGGGGCCATCCCGCACTAGCAGACAATCTAGAATTGTCCCGATAAAATCAATGGACAAACTTTGTCATGAAAAATTTTTGTCTCCTCTGTTGTATCCGCACTAAAAGAGTCGAAGCTGTCAAAGCTGTCAATCCGGTTAACAGCCAAAATTAACAACGTTATCATATATCATTGTCATTCAATTTAGCTGTGCGCGTCCAAACATCAAATTAAACGTTCCGGCGGGATGATAGAACATGATGCTGATGAAGAGCCTAGTATCAAGGCATCAATTTCTTCGAAACCAAGCAACTCTTTTAAGACCAACTGTAATCACTTGTAATTGGACAGGCTAATTCCAACCGTCAGGTTAAGCAGCCCATAGAAATTGAGCACTTTAAGCCATCAGCCAATAAAAGTCAACTACCTAGCTGATCAAAATGAAGAAAACCTTCTAGTGAGCAGGTTGAGAGGTCCACATGGACGGAATTCACTGGTCCGATGATTTTTATTCAGATGTTTTTTAAGTTGAATATGACAACCGTTTGACAACCGTTGAATGAGAAAGCCTCGGAAAGAGAGAAAAAGATAAGTTGTCGCAGTTGACCCACTGATGTTGAATCAAACAAACAAACGAGTCTTTGTCGGCGAAATGACCACAGGAACAAAATAAATACTAGTACCTACCAGACGAATCCAGCTTTCCTATTTCTTCAGACGAATTACTCGAAGAAACACCGTAAACAGGAAGAAAATAAAACATCACACAGAATTAATGCAACGTCGATGAGAGACTGGTTCTCCTAACCTTGGTTACGAAACATAAATGTCAATACCAAAACAATGCCACGCGGAATTTTAAACGAAGTCCATCTGAAATACTTCATGGAAGTAAAAGAACAAGACTACCTCAAGTATGTAGTGGACTCTTTAAGACTGATGCAAGAACCCTGGTACTCAGCCCATTGGTTGTTTGATGGATGTTAGCTTCGTTTTTGTAAAAAAAAGAAAATATGATTGTCCAAAATGATTACAAAATGAGCTCTGACGTAAGGATTATCTCGTTACAGTGGCCTATTTACATCATCAAGTCAGTCCATAAAACTAAGATATCCTGTAACGCCTTCAATGGACGCAGAACCACAGTTTCTTTGATGATAATATACATGAGAAAATTACGCGATTTTGATTGGCTGAGAACGAGTGCATTTTTCATGCTACACGGATGCAAAGACGCAACACGAGTGCAAAGTTATAACACGAGTGTAAACCACTATTGAACTCTGATTCGCTTCGAGATGAGTCTTATGGAGTGGCAGGAAAACTATTTCCTGCCTCCATTTTCAAGTAATTATCGATAATGTTCTGGATTTTGAAATACAAGCTAGCGCTAAGAAGTCACGACGTTTCGACCTCTCTGAGGTCATTTTCAAGTGAGGAAGTTTTCAAATCAGCATAACTATGTTGAAGCAAGTTGAAGACGATAAAATGTGGCGAACGTTAAAATATGTGAAAAAGTGTAAACAATATACAATGGAAGAGAATAAAAGAATAAAAGAATAAAAGAATAAAATAATCGTGGCACGAATTGTTCTAAACAAATAGTTTGGCGCGAATTGAATCGCACTGTTTGTTTAGCTTTGGTTTTAGTCTTTGATAAAAAAAAAACATTTCAAAAACAAGACAGTCAAATTTGTTCTCACACTTCTTTAAGATTTGAAAACTCTGTGTGATGTCTTCTGCCTCCATGTCGTGCTGCTCTCTGAGGTGGTGTCCGAAGGTGACCTTGTTGTGATAGAGGCCTGTATCTACTTAACATGATAACAAAGTGATTTACATTTAAAAGGCAGCAAGGTTTGTATCATAACAAGGTCAACCCTAGCCTCACTCCCATTCAAAGGCTTGGCAACCGAGCACACAACTGTAAAATGGACTATTCGTTGGTGTAAGTGTCGGCACTTGTAGCCGACATAGCCTGCATCGTACAGACCACACTGAAATAAATACACCACGCATTGTTGACTCACAAGAGGCGGTTTGTCTTCCTTGACCTTAATTTCATTCTTGATCTTTTTACTTGTATAAAATGGGCTAATACCTACGTTGATCTTCAGACTGAGGTCAGCCAACTGTTTTCGTACTACATTTGCAGATTTCTGGTCCTTGTAAGGCAACACGATTCTGACTGGGGCTTCTCTTTTATCAGCCATTCGGTTTGTGAATCCTCAGACACTTTTGATTCAACGAATCTGCGAAAGGTTGACTGCACAAGGTCGTCAGGATAGCGCAGTCGGGAGAAGATCTCTTTAAGGCGTTCACATTCCTCATGAAAAAACTTCCACGTAGACGAGAGTTGAAACGCACGGTTTAGCATGGTGATCAGCAGTGACCGTTTGTATCTGGCGTCAACGTGACTGTGATAGTGTAGCAAAAGCCCTTTGTTCGTCGATTTTCTGTAGACCATGGTG